TCCTTCGCCTTCTGCCATGATTGTGTGACCTCCCCAGCCATGTGGAACTGCGAGTCCATTAAACTTCTTTTTTTGGTTTATGAATTACCCAGTCTCTGGTATTTCTTCACAGCAGTATGAAAATGGACTAATGCACATCCACTTTAAAACAGCACAGATGCCTCCTCGTTGCATCCAGGCTGGTTGGTGTATGCAGCAATGCATTAACTATTCCCGCATCCTCTACCTACTTGCTGCTCAAAGCGCAGTCCTTGGACTAGGAATGTTAACATCACCTGAGATATTAGTAATTTAGACTCCAAGGTCCTGCCTCAGACTTTCTGAATCAGAATCTACATTTTAACAATATCCCTAGGTGGTTTGTGTGCATGTTAAAGTTTGAGAAGAACCTCCCTACTCGTCAGTTGTCACACACAGTGAAACTTCTCTCTTCCACCACTACTGGCAAATAAGTAAGATGGGTCAGCAGATCCTGATTCAAGTGACTCTAAGCAATGTGTTTACATCAGTCCAGGGGTAGTGTTCATTCTCTCCCATGAACACATAACCACTGCCACCAGATGTTCCAGTCTCCTGTCTCAACAGCAATTTTTCAAGTTAGTTGAAAATTCTCTACATGTGGAGTCATGTGTTCGAATGAAAATATAAAACCTTGTCTACAGGTAGGTTTTTAGTTCATTATGCTTCCCAGAGCATCTCCCTAATGTCCCCCTTTATGATATTCAAACTTCAGCTGCTCAGTTCGTATAACATTTTAATCTAGCCTAATGCCAAAACATAATAACTTTGTTAAAGGAGAGGTGAGTTTAGGATTACTGTCGCTTTTAAGATCTGTACTAAGAAATGTTTATACCACCAGTCTCCAGTGTATGCCAAATCGTGTTGTTGCTGTGGGCAATACAGTAGAATGGCCTCATTATTTCTCTGTCTAGCCTCTTTAGAGCTATAAAGCCCAACCATGTTTTGTACTTGTAGTGGTTTGAATGCAGTGCTATTTTGAAAAGTAGAACTAATGATTATTCTGCAAGGGCTTAACATGTTTGCATCACAATTTAGACCCTGCTTCTTTTCAATAAATATATTTAAATTTATTGTATTTTCCCATGCTTGTGTTCAAGTACTTAACGAGTAGTGCGGCAGGTACAAAACAAGTCAGACATGAATAATTTTCTTAAGGAGAATATATTCTGGCTGGGAGAACAAGGTTGTACACAAGAAAAAATTGAAAGGAGTATAAATTAATCTGTAGAATTGACCAAATGGTGTTGTGTTCATGGACATGAGAGAGTATGAGCTTGGTCTGCGAAGGCCTCATAGCATAGGAAAGACTTGAAGAATGGATAGGCAAAAAGTGAAGAAGAGGTTATTCCAGAAGGAAAATAATCTTTGCAAAGGGATATGTGCCAGTGAGCCCGGAACCTTCTTTACTACAGCCTTGCCTGGAGCTAACATTAATTGACTAACACATCCATAGCTCTGTGTTTCTTCAGCTAAAACTAACTAGATTCAAAGATGCATTTAAGCCAGGTGTGGTGGCTCATGCCCGTAATCCCAGCGCTTTGGGAGGCTGAGGTGGGAAGATCACTTGAGGCCTGGCTGATATGGTGAAACTCCCTCTCTACTAAAAATACAAAACTTAGCTGGGCATGATGGTGTGCACCTGTAATCCCAGCTACTTGGGAGGCTGAGGCAGGAGGATTGCTTAAGCCTAGGAGGTGGAGGTTGTAATAGCTGAGATGATGACACCTTACTCCAACCTGGGCAACAGAGCTAGACTCTGTCTTAAAAAAAACAAAGAAAGATGCATTTAGTCAACACATTTTTCCAGAGTGTAAATAATGTTTACAATTATAAAATATTATAATTATATATAATATTATATATAATATACATTATATATCAATATTATATCTATATATTAATATTAATCTATATTAATAATATATTGGTTAATAATATAATGATTCTTCTATATAATTAATTTTACATTAATATAGTAGTAAGGTAATTATGTTACTATATTGATTAACAATATATAATTATAAGATATAAATATATATATGATCTAATTGTATATATAATAAATTACACAGTAATTTGTAATTCACATTTTTAGGCCTCTCCGTATGTCATGGCTGAGTGCTTTACATGTGATATAACAACTTAATGGGGGGATTTTGGTCTCCATTTTGCTAATAAGAAAACAAACTTAGTTTAGGAATTTAACCACACAGTAAGTGGCATTGCCTATATGTGAATTCAAAGTTTGAATGCAAAACCCACATTCTTAACATTATACCATACTGCCATACCATATATAGTATACATACTATATAGCGTTTTGAATATTGTTTACTCAGGCACAATACAGCATTAAAATGTTAAGACAGGGAAAATACCCCCTTGAAGCAATTTCTGATCTTTACAAGAAGAGAAAGCCTGATGTATAGAGCTGAAACTATTGAGCAACATTGTGTGGCAACACCGCTTTCTCAAGTCCTGAGAGTACATTAAGAAAGCATGGAGGCAAGGTTAGTTTGGGTAAGCTTTCTCAGAATTAATAATTTGGAGAAGATTAGCAGATCTATTATTGTAGGCCAAAGTTCCAATTTAATTATTTACATGCTTGTGTGGTTATATATTGTTCAAATATGACTTCCCAACATGGCCAAAATTGCAAGACACCAATTGAGAAAGATTTGAGTCATTTTAGAAATAGCCACCACTGAGTTTTTGACCTGATTTCCTGGGCGTGTGTTTAAATGCCTTTCACTCACTTATTTTTGGAGTTCATGGGAGGCAGTTTATGAAGACTGATTACAAGAATGAAGAGTCACATGCTCAAACCTGGGTTTGAGAGCTTGTCCTGCCACAAACAGTCATGAGAGTTAGCTGTTCCCTCAGACTCTAGGCCAGTGTGCTCAGTGCAACCCTGGCCAACAGCATGGGCATTGCCTCAGAACCCGTCAGAGATGCAGAATCTCAGGTCCCACCCTAGAGAGGCTGAATCCGAATCCCTGGGGTAGGGCCAGCAATCTGCATTTTCACAAGCTCACCAGGAACTCTGTGCTAGGCCTCACCTTCCTCATCGCTAAAAAGGAGGTCATGTAGTAGACTACCTTTTTCACGGGAGCATTGTAAAGATTAAGTAAGATAATGCACAGAAAATGCTTAGTGCAGTGTCTAAAACAAGAGTGATTAATAAATATTACCTTCTATAGCTTCTTTTCTTTTTTTATTTTTTATTTTATTTTATTTTTTTGAGACAAGCTCTCTCTTTGTTACCCAGGCTGGAGTACAGGTGACACAATCTCAGCTCACTGCAGCCTCCAGCTCCTGGGCCCAGGTGATCCTCCCACCTTGGCCTCCCTGTACCTGGGACTACAGATGTACATCACGATGCCTGGCTTATTTATGTTTATTTTTTGTGGAGATGGGGTCTCACTATTTTGCCCAGGCTGGTCTCAAACTCCTGGGCTCAAATGATCCACCTGCCTCAGTCTCCCAAAGTGCTTGGATTACGGCATGAGTTACCACATCCAGCCATCTTCCATGGCTTTATCTTATTTTTTTAAAATTTTTGATTAAGAAGGGATAAGAAACCACAACCCTAAGCAGCTGAGTCTGTCTGCGTTAGGTTCCAGCAGAAATCAATTCTTACAGCGAGTGATTAAGACTCATCTGACGTCTGCCTTGTGTTACTAAGAAAACCTGAATTGTATAAACAGGTTTCTGTTGTGGTCTTTCTTGGGCTCCTGTTTGAAAACCAAGGAGGTCTGTGGCTGAGTTTTTACGGTCAGTCCAGAGGCTCCATGGAGCAGCTCTAATGGATGTGTGTGTCAGATTGCAAAAACACGCAGACTGGAGCATTTAAAGTCCTATTTAGAAAACCGTCTCCAGGTTTCACATTTGAGAACATAAACACTTGCGAAGTGCAACGCTTCTTCCAGGGAGACATGGCACTGGCTCAGCTCTCCGTGAGGTGCCCATTATATATCAGTGACTGAGCAGAGTCCTTGGAAGGCCCAACTTGACCCAGAGTGCTCACTTTCAAACCATCTGAATCCATTCTAGCATCTCTGTAGCTTTTGCTTAGTGTTTACATATAAGAATTTGAGCATCTATCCCGCTTAGAACCTTCATGCTTTTCGCTTGCTCTTTCCCCCTTGGACAGAAGTCAGCAAACTTTTCTGCAAAGATCCAGACAGTACGCTTTGGAGGCCACAGGATCTCTGTCAAAACTATTCAACTCTGCAGTTGTAGATCAAAAGCAGCCATAGATGATATATAAATGAATGGGTGCGGCCATGTCCCAATAAAACTTTACTTACAAAAAACAGGTGGCAGGCCAGATTTGGCCCACTGAGGCCTGACTTAGAATCTCAAAACATCTAATAAAAGGGACCTAGATGACTAGGCAGCAGAATAATTTGGTGTCCATGGGTAAAGTTCCAGCTTAGAAGTAGTTACTGGCCTGAACTTAGATATGCCTTGGGTCATGAAAAGTAAACAACGCTAATTGTCCCTTAAGATCAGCTGGACCAAGATCTATTCTGAAGCCGTTTTGCTTCCACCTGGTGGGAAAACATCTTCTCTTGGCTTAAAAACTTTTAATGAAGATACTGCCTCACAGTTTGAGAACAACCAAAGTGAGTTCCAAATCTGGAATAAAGAAGTCTTCCTCTAAATGATAAGGTAGAAAGGGAGATGATGCTCAGATATCAATGAGTAGGATGCAGACTCAGACCTAAAGCACAAGAGTAGAGAGGGAGGCCTGTGTCTTCCTTTCCTGAAACAGCTCAGGATACATGAATCCTGGTGCTTAGAAATGACAAAACTGGCCCCTCTGCAAAGAAGTAGCCCAGAGGTTGTGAATGTCATAGATTATTCTGTATCCATGTCCTAGGAATTCTGAAGAATGATAAGCATCTCTATATAAGACAGAAGCAGAAGAAACCAGTTGGCAAACATTCTAACCTGGGCTATTCTTTCATTTGCAGGGTTTTTGCAGTGCCAGGTGTGGATTGAGATTCAGCCTTTGTAAGACTTACTCACTGAAAACAGGAATTTGCTTGGTTCCAAGGTAACCATTTGTTAACAGATGTCATTGGCTATCCAATAGTCATTCCAATTCCCTTTGTTTTTCCTTGGAGGAGAGCCCCTACTTCAAGATTTTCTTCATTATGCACAACAAAATTGGGGTGTCTGTGTATAATTAAGAAAATATTGCTTGGTTTGATTCAATTACAATGATCTCATTGTACATATCGATAATTGGTTTATAGATAAATACGTAACCTAGAGCTGCCCAAAGAAAAATAAAATCTTGAGATTTCTGGAGAAGGTAAACTTTCCCTTAAAAAGAGGCACAGGGGTGCTGACGAGTTGATGGGTGCAGCACACCAACATGGCACAAGTATACATATGTAACAAACCTGCACGTTATGCACATGTACCCTAGAACTTAAAGTATAATAATAATAATAAAATAAATAAATTAATTAATAATTTAAAAAAAAAGAGGCACAGGGTGAAATGTGTGAACCTGTGGACATTGTTGACGTAGAGGTTGCAACTCTGGTGGCCACCTTGCAACCCTGAGAAAGCCAAGCTATAGATGATGAGGCAGAATTAACCCTGAGCTGCCTTACCTTGGGGCTTCTTGTCATTGAGAGAGTAAAAATGTTCCTTATTGTGTCAACGAACGGGTTAGTTTCTGTTTCTTGCGACCAAATAAATCCCCAGTCTTACACATTCCTGTTTGGTCTCTACCAGGCCAGTTCAGCTGTGAAGTTCTGCTTCTACCAGTTCTCAAGTTTTCTGCTTTCACTATTCCCACCTTGTTTAACCACCTGGTAGAGGCCCGGGAATTGTACTTTCTTTGTTATGTTTTGTCCATCAGTAGTAGCCCCTGAGGTTGGGGTCTTACTGGATAGGACCTCACCAGGGAGCCCTGCTCTATGAAGACTTGCTACTCACAGACTGAAATGATTTCAATTTGTTACTTTTGTTATTAGAAGGATTGGTGATAATAATGCTGTTTCTTTTTCATTCATCCAGTACAATTGTCCTTCTCTAACAAAGTTTGTAGGCTAGTGGATACAGTGAAGTAAACTACCACATACAATGTAATGATGGGCCATAGTGGGAACTGGGGCTGTGGCAGTTGAGAGATTGGCCCTGTTTTGGGCCTATACAATAGTCTTGCATATCCCATTTCTTCCAAACTTGCAATGCCTCCTTCTCTGGAAATCCCAGACTCCCACTTTCTTGCCTCCACTGCAGTTAGGACATGAACATATAAGCCTCTTCTGGCCAGAGAGATGTATGAGAAAATCTTAGAAAAACTTCTAGGAAGGATTTTTCTTGAAGAGTGATAGCAACACAGAGAGTTATTTTACTTTTTTCCTAATCTTGGTTGTTTTGTCAGAGGGCATGATTTGGAGCTATAGCAACCATTTTGTGACCATGAGGCAAAAGCCAAGAGAACTGAAGAAAAGTTGAATCCAAGACTTGATATTGTTATATCACAGAACTAATCCTAGCTCTGTGTCTCTCCATATTTCTTGTCATGTTTTAATACCATTTTATTTAGTATCTGTTACAACTAACAATACTAAGTGATACAAAGGATTTCTAACCTGAACTAAGGGAGTCAAAGAAGGCTTCCTGGAGGAGGTGACTCATGAACTGAAGCATAAAAGACAGTACACATTATGCAATAGAAGCAGAAATTATAAAGGAGGGTGCCAAGACTTGGAGGAGAGAATGTGGCAAATTTAAGAACTCAAAATTGATGACCATCGCTGGAGCACAGAATACTGCATATGTATCAGCAAGAGACAAGGCCAAAGAAGCCCATGGGAGAAATGGGGTGGCGGGGGCAAATCATACATGTCTTTGTAAGTCCTGTTAAGAAAATTTACCCATTTGCTTAAGAACATTAGGAATATTGTTAAAGGCTTTTTCATTCTCAAAATCAGAAGTAATCACTGCTTTTATACAACCAGATCGCATTGCTGATAGTTTACTGTTATTTCAGCCTATTAGGGATTACAGTTTGTCATTCAACTATCTGTTTCCTCCAGTAGACTGAAAGATATTGGGGGTCAGACTATGTCTTATCTTATTTATTTTATTTTATTTTTATTTTATTTTATTTTGAGACACAGTCTCACTCTGTCGCCCAGGCTTGAGTGCAATGGCATGATCTTGGCTCACTGCAACCTCCGCCTCCCAGGTTCAAGCGATTCTCCTGCCTCAGCCTCATAAGTAGCTGGGATTACAGGCATGGCCACAACGCCTGGCTAATCCTGGCCTTAGGTGATCTACCCACTTCTGCATCCCAAAGTGCTTGGATTACAGGCATAAGCCACTGCTCCCAGACATCTTATCTCATTTAGATCAACCATCTCCAACATATCCTAATCAAGGTTTGTTGAATTGAATTATCCATCCCATTACAGTATACACAACCTGAAACATTTGAATGTGTTTTACCTTCATTGATCATTTTTATATACCATGTGAAGCCTGGAGAGGTAAAGAGAGGGGTCCAAGCTTCGTGTAGCTTGTTAGTACAGAACCATAAGGATTAGAAATAGGTTTTAACTCTCCTGGTCCAAAAATGCTTTCTGCTACATCATACAGTTTCATCCCACAGCAGGTATTTCCATCACTAAAATGTATGTACTTTTGTTCACTAGCAGTGAGGTGCCAATGAGATTTAAAAAAAAAAAATTCATGTAGACATTTCCAGAAGCTTCTGTCTGTAGTGGTGGAAACATCCAGTCACATTTTCTTTTCTTGGGGAGAATCTGAGTGGCCATTTGGAGTTAGCAGATGTACGGCAAGTAAAGCCTCTTTGTCATGGCTTGAGAAAGACTAGTATTCCCCCATGTCTCCTGTTCTGTAGAGCTCCTAGAATACTTATGAGGTAGGAGACAAATTTCTGTAGGAACTCTATTAGGGCAACTACCTACAGGCCATGGCAGATAAATCTGAACACTTCAGTGGCTCAAGTCAATTGTTCTGTTTCTCACTCACATAAAAATTAATGTTCAGGGGGACAGCATCAGAGATCCAAGCCCTATCTTGGATCCACCATGTCCTGTGGCTTTTGCCAGATCCTCTGAGTCTCATAGACTCAGAGAAAAGAACTTTCACCATGGACATCACTTCTGCCCACATTACCTTGAGTAGGACTGTCACGGAGACATTTCTCTGCATGTGAGGATGGGAAAGATAGTCCACCTTGGGTGCAGAAAGTTAGCAAAATGGTTTTGGTAGACAAGTAGTCATCTCTGACTTAAGGATCAGTGGGAATCTTGGGAAAAAAGTTGCGATACCCCTTACCTTCTGAGGTTCTGCTTTATATCATATTTCTGATAGACTAGAATGGATCAGATGAGGCCAGGAAGCACAGGAGAAATTTCACCATAACTTGCTTATTGATTCACCTCAAAGCCAGGATTATGTTTTCCATGGAGGGGAAGGTTAGTTCTGAACATAAGTGGCTGCGAGTTAGCAATCCCTCCTTATCCAGACATTGTCTTGGAGTAAGAATGGGTGAGTGCCCATATATTAAAAGAGCTGTGTATTAAAGAATTATATATATTATTGGGAGCCTATACCCCAATATGAAGTGACCCATCCTTTATTCAATCCTTCAACAAAGCCTGAGTACCTACCATGTGCCCAGAACATTCTAGGTGCTGGGGATACTGTTGTTCCCTACTCCCACAGAGCTTAGCCTCTAGAGAAGGAGAGACAGGATAAAGAATAAATAAATATAGTTTCAACTAGTCATAAGTACCATGAAGAAAACAGGGTTAGGAGATAGAAAGTGACTAGGGAAGAAGAGTCTAGTGCTCTTCTAATTTGTGTAGAACAGAGTATGATGAATTTAACCAAGGGAGAGAAAGACTTTATTTCCCTATTTCTTTTTTTTCTTTCTTTCTTTCTTTTTTTTGAGACAGAGTCTTGCTCTGTTGCCAGGCTGGAGTGCAATGGCGCAGTCTCAGCTCACTGCAACCTCTGCCTCCCTGGTTCAAGTGATTTCTCCTGCCTCAACCTCCTGAGTAGCTGGGACTACAGGGGCGCACCACCACACCCAGCTAATTTTGTATTTTTAGTAGAGACAGGGTTTCACCATGTTGGCCAGGATGGTCTTGATCTCTTGACCTCATGATCCGCCCACCTCGGCATACCAAAATGTTGGAATTACAGACATGAGCCATCATGCCCAGCCTATTTCTCCATTTCTAAGACCAAGCAAGATTGCTATTGGGCCAGCAATGGATGTGCTTGGATAACTGGAAAATTTTTCTCTGTGGTCCAAGACTACCCCACTTTTCTGGACCTTTGCTTTCAAGAGCCATACTATGTGGCAACGATAACAATAGTAGCACAACATGAGCATCACAGATAGATCAATGATATTTTCCAAGATCTTCTTTGTAGAGGACAGTACTCACTTATGCCAGTGAACACCCCTGGGATTCTCAGACTTTCCACAGGAGGTAGAACTCCTTAGAAACAGGAAGAGAAATGATGAGAGATGGGGAGTTAAAATCATACAGTTTGATGAGTAAGAGAAATGTTGCTTTAGATGAAGGAAGATGTAGCAATTTTACCTTCATTCCACAATGATTTACTAAACACTTTCTGTGGATCAGATACTGTGTTAAGACCTGGAGATAAGGTGAACAAATGTGGCACAGCCCCTGACTTGACAGATTGTACTTTAAAGGAAAACAGAGTGTGTGACAGAAAGTCAAAGCTATCTGTGCGCATTTTTTTTGTGCTCTATGTACGAAGCACTTTGCCCATTTCCATAAAGTGGGGTGTAGGGGTGAAGCCTTGTGTGCATCTTTGTCTTTTCATGAATACATGAGGACATTTTTCTCCCCTGCTCACTCCTCCCAGGAGGGGCATTGGCTTTCTGTTCCTACTAATGATTCTGCAGGTGCCCCCCTCTTCTTGGGGTATTCAGCCTCATTCTGCTTTGTGACCAGGCAGCTGTGTGGGTCCCACAGTGTGATACAGTAATCTCATCCTAGGTTCCAGCTGCAACATGCGTTC